TGCCACTGAAAGGAACAAAGTCCTACTCTTCCTTTGCCCCAGAATGAGAACTTCCAAATTCTTCACTGTGGTCATCCAGATTATGGACTTCATCCTATTAAAAGGCAAACCCCCGGAAAATATTTGATTTTTAGCAGATCAGTCCTTGTGGTGGTACAGTGCAATCATGGGGGTTGGGGGTGGGGCAGGAGCACCATGAGGGTTGAACACAGATTTCAGATCAGCTTCCACCATCAGGCAACTGTACTCTCAGTTACTTCATTTGAAACCTCACTCTGAGAACTGTACAGTGTTCCTAAGTGAGAACGTAAAGGCACAGCATGATTATAGATTTTACTCTCCAGTGATGCCGAGCCTTAGTTTATAACTTAATAAAAATCATGAATATTGAAATTGTGGCATTTTGGCACTGTGTTTTGTAGGATATCATGCTACATAAAACTGCCTTCAGGAGCTCTCATGTATTTGGAAGGCTATTTGTAACACGAAGCCGAATCAGACAGACAGTGGAGAATAACATATGTCTTCAACATTTCTTTACTGACAATTTTCCCCATTTTTTTTGTATAACAACAATTCTGTAGTTAAAGCTATAAGAGTGGGTTGTTCCATGAACCACATAGCAGATGAAATTAGTCATTAGCTGTGACTACCCAAAGCTGTGCACGTTTCTGTTTGCCAGTCAGTATGCTTGGCTGACTGGCCAGTAGGTGCATGCATTCTGCTGCCAAAACAAGACGTATAACAGATGTATTCTGCCTTTCTTTCCCTTCCTGGCATTCTCCTTCAACCAGATAATATTCCTCATGAAACTTGCAGGAATTTTATTATCTTTGAGAGTTCAACTTCTCTTTCCAATTTGCTGAAAATTAATCAACAATGCAAAATGTAGCAAGTGTGGTCTGACAAAAAAAAATGCACAAGAAGTTAAACTGTATATGCCTCAGAAAATCAGTGTCAAAAACATATTAAAAGTAAACTGTTGCGAGGATATTTTCTTCTAGCTGTAGTCAGACTCCATATTGCAGAGAATTGAAACATAATTTTTATATCAATCTTGACACACCTGAGCAGAAAGCAGTCCAAATTTGAAGGCATATCCAATGTCTTTTGTTTCAGGATCTTATCTCCATGTCTTTTTTGTCTGTATAATCCTACTGAGGTTCAGCCACTCTCCTATATGTTTCCACTTGCTGGGTATTTTACTGCAGATCACATAACTTTAGGCAATGATAATATTATTATGCTAATATTGTTATTTGTCAGCATTATTTAAACAATATTTCATAAGTTAATTGGCTGCAATTGTAAATGCCATAAAAATCTTATAAAAGGAAATCTACTCCACATAAATAAAGGCAATAGAGGCAGTTTTCCTGCTCTGAAAGACTTATCCTCAGAAGCTTGTCCATTGCTTCCTGTTATGTCAGGTGACCAGATAAAAGATACTACTACTTCTTACAAAACCTGTCCTACTCACATGCCTATAACTGTTTTGCCTACAACACTGTTGTCTGATGACTGACAGTGCAGTCAGCTCCTGAGTTATGCTACCCTGTGCAGGGAAAAAAGTTAGCTCTTTTTGTGAATTCTAATACTGGATGCATCTTAGGATAACATTTGGACCAGTTTATTCTAATGATATAAATTTCACAAGAAAGCAGGTATACAAATTTCACCTCTAGCCTTAGCATCACCTCCCTCACTGTTGTCCCCATGCATGTATTTTCAAGTGAGCAGCTTCATTCTTTTTCATATTGCATTGCAACCTTTAGATAGCTCACTCGTATTAAAGTGCTAAGCTCTCTTGTGTTTCTGGTTGTTAGCTAGTGCATCAATCTTTAAACCATCTTTAAAAGTTATAAATATTTTCTCATTGTCACCATTTTCATCTGCATTTTTATATTTCATCTGTTCTCTTGATAGATGATTTTCTTTTCTCAAGTTTGCATAGTGCACATTACAATAGGCCTGGGGTCTGTCCTGTACGTACAGTATAGTGATACTGCATACAGAGGGTATAGGGTGTTAAAGAATAGAAAACTAGAAATGAAAGAATTCTTATTAATTGTGTATGTCTATATATATATATCATAGATCATATAATATCTTCAGTTTGAAGAGCCTATAAGGATCACAGAGTTCAACTTCCAAATATATATATATACATAATATATATATATACACACACGTACATGTGTAAGTGTGCACATAAAAGAGAAAACAATATTCAATATCTTTTTCCTTTCCTTGAATTTGGTTATGGTGATTCTGATTTTTAATTCCAAAGCCACTTGGACTCGGTCAGTACTACTTACAGAAAGCTGAGGGAAAGACACTGAGATTTCCACAGTAAAAGTCATTTAGGCAGAGTGGCTGAACTAAGCATGTGCTTCATGAAGTTGGGGAGAAGAGAACAGAATGTTATGACTAGCACATTTCAACAATCCATTTTTAGAAATGTCAATTGCTCTGAGTTATGAAGAAAACAACAGCCCCTCACAGTGCCCAGACCCTAATCCTGAGTTTGAAAGATGGCCATGGCTCGCAGCTGCCAGTGTGTAGTAGGTGTGATGCCAAACCCCTCAGAACTGTTTTTCTCATGCTACATGTGGCTGGGGGGAATCACCACCACAGGTGATATACATCACATGTGCAGTGAGTCCACGCTGCACGTGAAACACAGACTGAAGTCTTACGTTGCATGCTACCTGGAATCCCTTTAATACAGACCTGGCATCCAGTGTTTCAGCACAACCTGATTCTTTAAATGGTCATGCCTCTCCACTGTTAAGGTTGACCAGTTTTGGATCTTTGCTTTTTACAGAAACAAAAAGTCCCCACTATGCCAGTCATGTTAGCATCACACTTTGTAGGTCAATCCTTTAATTAAAACATTTTTTGAATATAGACATCATTAGATTCAGTTGTCCAGCTTTGCAATACTCTCATAGGGCGAAAAAAAGAGTGAAAGGAATACATTGTAATTTCTTGTATTCTTAGTCTTTTTGACTGATGTCCCATGTGCTAGGTTTTGTTCTTACAGACTCTTACAAAAATGCCTAACTCCCTGCATTACACAATAGCTTGAGGATATCTGAAAGAATGTCATGGTGATATTCACCATGACAAATTCCATGGTGAAGGCTGATCACTAACATCTGTGATAAAGGAACTTTTCTGACTAATCCTATTGCTCAACGTACTGGAAGATACAAACTGATCCTATCCATCTAAACTTCTCCTACTTGCAGACACATTGGCTCAAATATCCACCAAAACTCAGGCAGCAATCCAGACTGCTTTCTCCCACTCCAGTTTGAGTTACATATAAGGGTGTCGCAGACATTGAGACTTCACTGCCTGTTCAGAAGCCAGAGGCTCTTGAATAAATTTAGTAGGTGCCAGTTTCAAAACAAAACAAGGAAAACAGCTTTCTTTAAAAATAAATATTAGATCTATTCAACTTCTTTCCAAAGGATGCTGCAAATGAAAACGTGCATTTGCTTTCAGGAGAAGTAGTACAAAAAGAAGAGATTTCTAAATAAAGTGTGTTAAGTTTGACAGATCCGTGTACAGAAAGCAGACAGACATGGGAAAAAAACTGGGGGAAATGCTGTTTCTTGCCTATTCTTGCACTCAGCTACCTCTTCTTGCCCTCTTCTTCCATTCTCCTGGCATAGGCTTATGGGTACTGAGAACAGTTTACTGGATTAGGCGACTTCTTGGTCTGAAGTGGTACATCTGTTCTTGCCTTTTTTAACTGCTTAATCCTGTAAAAACCTGACTTCTGTAGGCACCTTTTAGTCTGGTGTGGAGGTTCATCAGGTGTACACATTTTTCACCATTATGAGTTCAGAATTAGAGGGTCTTCCAGTTCCTTCATGAAATCTGTTCTGCTTCAAGATTTCCAAATAAGCCAGCTAATCAACACTTCTCATAGTGAGTAAGAACATTTGCTCAGGCAATAGATGACCTACTGTCCAGGTGACTCAGTCCCATTTTGACATTCTTGAATGCTATCACATATCCAGTTTCCTAATATATCCCCAAAGCTGTAGCTTTCCCTTTGTGAACAGAAAAGCTTGTTCAGATGCCAAAAATATTGCTGCCTAGATAGTAAAAAATCCCTGCTTCCCAGCCCTCACTAAAAAGTGGCACTGTCCTGGTTTGTTCAGGCTTTTTTCCTTCAGGCACTCCACATGCACCACAGAAACCTGGAGATTTCTGTTCCTTTTTCCTCCAATTTTACAAGCAAGCCCACCCTGAGACACTGAATCATGACTACCAACATTGCAGCTTTGGAAGATTTAACTGGGAAGCCCCACAGAGCCTACTAACATCATATAATTGACTGAGGGGCTGCTCCTAAAGAGTAGTATAAGGAACTCCCTCACCACCAGTCTCTCATGATTGAGTGTTTGCTTTTGAAAAGAGTTCTTCACACTGCTTGCTTTGAGAGGGGAAGAGGAGGGATAAAGAGGAGTGAAGCCTCAATTGCAGCTTTCACTGTTTTCAGAAGGAAAATCTCAGCAGTACACATGCAAGCTGTTATTGTTTGGTCACTTGTCTCTATTGTCTGCCTCTGCTTGGAAGAATTAAAGCATTTTCAGAAAAGTAATCTTATCACGAGAGAGCAATTAGACATTTTGTAATCCTATCACCCCTGTGCTGAAATTACCGTGCCCAGTTAGCAATAACTCTGCTTCTAACAGAGTGAGCAGCAGCACAGCATGAATTATTTAACTCGATGCTGCGCTTCCTGTTTTCAAGTCACCAGAATGATACAGGCATGACAGACAGTAATTATCCCCAGCATAGGGAAGAAACAGTTAATGGAACCTGCCTTTTAAATCAATATTATTAATTCAAGGAAAGAAACAGCATGTACTATCTGACGCCTATGGAGTTTTGATCTGGGCTTGATGTCACACTGAAGCAAGTGGTTGCCATGGAGATTGGAGCGTATGTCTGCGTATCCCTCCCGCCAGCGATGCGAGGAGTGTTTTTGGAGAGGAAGTGCCCATCTGTAGTCAATAGCTATTGTTCTCATGGAACCACATGCCGGCCTCACTGCAGCCTGCCGAACTGCGTCACGACACTGCAGTATCAGCCCCTTTGAATAAAGACTCCCTGTTGAACCAGATTTACCCACCCTACCATTTTCACTGTCATTTGATTATCTGCTTGTATTTTCTGGCTGTGCTAATGCAGTCTTTTAGCAGTGTTATCAGAGAATCCCTATGGCTCGATATCTTGCAAAGCTGGACAGATCTCCTTGTGTTTGCTTGTTTTCTTCATTGCCCTCTCCATTCGGTCAAGGGAAAGTACCTGTGCTATGCCAGCTGTTTTGCTTTTCTTCTTTCTTAGACGTAGAATACCTTGAAAACCTGAATGTGTTTTCTCACCCTGTACAAATTCATAGCAACCTAAAACTGCTTGTAATAGATCCTTGTAAATCATCATTGTTAATTGCCAGCATATGTTTGTAGAAAAAGACTGGCAGTTTGGCACAGTCCCCCATGATTATTGAATATACCTGTTTATTAACCAATTAAGTAATGAGCTAATATGCCAATGGCATATGAAATCAGGGCACTATTACTAACTGGAAGATGTCAGACAAATTTACTCCTGTTACCTGAAGACAATGGGATGAAACAACTTCATGAATACCAGGTGCAGTTTGTAGGCTCAATTTCTTTTCCTCTTGAAATACAGTATTCAGAGTAATGTCTGGTAAATTTCTGCCAGAGATTCTTGGAAGTTATTCTCCTGAACAGCATACACAGAAAGAAATGGCTATGATGGAAGCAGATTTTTTTAAATGTTTTCATTTTATTGTTCTTTTCCTCCCATTTCTCTCTTCTCTCTCTATTTTGTGTATTTCATGTCAAGTAAAGGTGCATTTCAGCTACCTGGACTTCCCAGTGTAAAAGATGCAAAAGGCTTTCAGAACAGCCAATATGTGTACCCTCCTCTGCTATCATTCTCAGAAACGGCCAAACCATTTCTGCAGAAACATCAAAATGAATCAGCTCTGAGCATGTACCTGGCATGGGAAACTGCAGGAAAAACAATTACAGTTTAGTAAATTCCCATAATGGTAAACATTTTGATTGCGAAGAACAGGCCTGCCAGGGATTCTGGGTCCTTATCTAGCCACCAAATATTGTCTAAACTCACTGCTACCAGTGGTAGGTTGATTACAGCTTGAGTACCCCCAGCCTGTGTACAGGTGTAGCATTCACACTCAACTTGCACTGTATACTAACTTTCCTAATTACATGAGGAATGCAATTTCATATTTGCAATCTGCCCTACTACTATAAAGAACACAAACGGTTATATAGTCCTAGATATGTGGCACAGCAAGGTTGCTGTGGCCGTATGATCACCCATGCAGGGTGATAAGGGATGCACAGGAAAAGAAAGACGACTTTCCCTCACTCTTACCCCCTGCACCTCCCCCCATGTTTTATTTATATCTCTTCCATCCCAGCTGGCACATACAATGGCAACTCTGGGATTTCTGACCCTGAACTAAACTGCTGCAGGGCTGAGCGAGAGACTTGGCAGGTATTTGTTGAAGCTGAACTACATTGCAAATATTCCAATTTTACTGAATCTAAGAGTTTCAAGAGAAGTTTTGAACGGATGTTTCTGAACAGCTTTATCAGTTCTACGAGCAGCATGTTCTTACTACTAGGTTTCCAACAGAATCGCCATATTATGTAATTTTACCTTGTATTTGGGTGCTTTGCTGTATTGCGAGTGTTGACTGGTGATTTTTGAGCTCTTGGGGTAGCCAGATTAGATAAAAAGGCCAGACCCACCTACAGAAAGATGTAAATAGAAAAGCAGTACGTCTCAGTCAAGCAAGGAAACATAAACTTTCACTTTTGGAAGTGAGTAGCAAGTTGGATTCCTAGTCATGGAAAAAAATAATATTACTATGTAGGTGAAAGCCTCCAGTGTTTGGAAATCTCACAAGGTTTAAAAGGGAAACAGACACCATTTGGATAGACTGGTGTACATAATCATATTTATATCTTGAAGTGGATTTAAACTATCTGTCAGAAATGCACTGAAATTGTCATGTTCCCACAGTACAAGTAAATATCAGTGAATTTTCATTTTGACTCAACTTTCCATTAAAAAACATGTAGAGAAGCTTACTTTCTTCTGTACAAGGTCCTGAATTTTTCACTTGGTTGACTGAAAATCCTATCACATCAAACACAGAAGACCTTGGATTTTGTGTTTTTTTAATAAATGCTCAGGTGGACTAGCAGACATCTGAGATTTTGGGGGCTTTTGGATCTCCAGCTTTGATGCAGCCTACATTGGTTATTTTGGTAACCAGTGTGGCATTTTTTGGTGAAGTAGGGCATACACAGGTGAAAGTCATATGAGATACTGGGCAAGGATATCTAATTCTCTAAATCAGAAGAATTCTCACAGGATGCTTTCCACTTGAACTACATTAACTGCTTTAAAATACAGATGTTTCTGGGGCAATGCTCACCTCTTCTCTACTGGATGACTAGTTCAGATACAGGAAACTATTTTGTCTCTCCAGCTTGAAAGATTTGGTTTTATTGCTCTCCCATTCTGCAAAAGCACAGTCAGGAAAGAGATACAACTGCTGATTACAATTGCTGTTTCTCCTGTTTACTTTGGTCCATTATGCATCAGGGAACTAAGACTTTCTAGTACCTGAAGGAATCTGTAGGTTAAAAAACAATTACATGGCATTGGTCACCAATTATGAGGCACTGACGTGTGAAGCTGCTTTCTGTTTGCTTTTTTAGGAATCCAACATCAGAACTTAGTGTGGTGCAAAACGTTCAAACACCTTTGTGATCTTATATTCTATAGTCCTGGCACTTCTGATTCTAGAGGGGCTCTCTAATGAGAAAGCTCCCTTCCTTTCTAGTAAAAAATCTGTATTGTAATATTTATAAAATAAAATATTGTGGAATTTCAATTTATGTATACACTTGAGTTTTAGGGAGATTATGAATTTGTTTATTTTATTTTTAGGAAGGCAACATTTTTGCAGACCTGACCAATTCCTAACTCCTATATTACAAATGTAGCAGGCTCTAAACTTAAAATGAGTGAAGATATAAATATGCATTTTTTTTGTTTTTTTTTATTTACTCTATTTCTTTTTTTCAGTTCATTCAGCTTCTTTGCCATCTTTTCATTGCATGCAAAAGGACATGTCCAATGTTAGTCAGCAGCCATGGACTATTTTATGTTCTGAAAAATCTTTCCAGGAGGGCCCCCTCAAGCAACAAATGGCCCAATTTATTTATGACAGTGCCAAAAAAAACTATTTCCAGGATGTTCATAGGTCAAGAACTCCACTGAAATAGAGAATGCCTCTAGGACCTATCACATTGTTTATTATTCGCTGTGTATGTTGTAGTAGTGCCCTGAGGCCACAATCAAAATCAGGAAGTTGAGGGAGATTGAAAGAATTATGATCTCTCTTTCAGTTGTAGATTATCCTTATAACTTTGTCAATTTCCTGTCACCCTTTTCCTCTAGGATGTTAGTTTACCCTTCAGACAATTTTCTTTCAGAAATCTCCTTCCATTAGCCTCTTATTTCTATTTTTGTCTAACTGTTGTCTTGAGATGACTAGTTATTCCAGTGGTTACATCCAGTGAAAGGATGCTTCAAATGGATGTTTCATGATTTGTCTTTAGATTCTTTCTTCTTTTATACACACACACAGACTTCTATGTGATGTGAATGATGTATCTCAGAGACTTCTCATTTTTTTAGCTTTTGCAGGTAATCTTTGGGAATGGGGGTACTATTCTTGTGTATAGAGCTGCAGGTTACTGTAGGGAACTAGAGCAGTGTCCCAGAGTCCTAAAGATAAGACACGTCACAGCAACTGTTTTTTAATAAGGCCTAACTCATTCTGTTTCTTTGTTTACCCATCTCCTTCCCAATCCTACCAAACTTTCATTTGATTTGACCTTTTCTTCATTCGTGCAATGAAATCACTCTGGGTGACTAAGACCTGCCTATCTGCACTGCAACATATTACAGGGAGAAGTTGTGGGCAAAGCTCTGAATCCAAGAGTGTCAAGAAGGAACTATGATTCCTTTGTGTAGTGAGTTTTCTAGGTTGTGTTGTTTGCAGGAAATACAGTTTTTTTTCAAACAGATCCACAGAAATCACAGTACATTTTCTGTAACAAGTTCAGGTGAGTAAGCCAATACCTGCCAATGTTGGATAGGATTGTTCTTCCTCTTGCTTAGCTAGCTCAAACTTTTAAAATAAAATAACATCTAACAACAAATACAGCATAAATTTGCCATGCTTGCTATTATTGATGAACACATTGCAAAGAGTAACATAACAAAATATATTTGCACATTGTACAGTGGAACAAAACATATGTGAAATTTTTCAGGCCTCCAGAATTCATATTACAGTTTCCTCCTCTTGAGGAGGAAAGATGGATCTGTAGGGAAAGTGAGATGAAGGGAAAATCTGAAGTAATTTTATGGAGTTAAGAGTGTGATTGGGCAATAAGAATAAATTTATATTTGTTCTGGTTTGGGGATAAGTTTTTCAGGGGTTAATTAACTTCATGCTCTGTTCATTTCTTCTTTGTGAACTCTGTAGAAATGACTGTTATCCTTTAATTTATTTTTTCTTAGTATTAAGTGTTATATTATCATCTTTTTCTGTCCATGAGGTCAGACAGGGGTCCAATTACTCATTATAGCAGGAATTCGTATTTCTGGAGTTTGATTCTCTTGAAGCCTTTTTATGCTTACACTCTCAGTCAGGATAAGCAGGATGAAGAATGAGACTGCGGAGCACTGAGATCAGCAGTGTTTTCAGCATCTGCATGCAATAATGTGATTTGACTGACTTGTATGGACCCGAGCCCAAAAACTACAGAAAGGATTTATGTAGGCTGTGTTGGCTGACATGTGGGAGATGTTCCTACTATAAAAGTTATGCTGATTACAATATGCAATCATTTTCATAAAAGCAGCCAGACTTGTTTCAGTTTTGTTCTTTGGCTTATGTTCCTCAGCTTATGTTCCTCTAGCCAGTTTCCATCCTACTGTTTCTAAAACAGCTTGTACATCTTTAATAATTATATAAGGTTGGTTCAGAAAAATAGTCAAAATTCTATTCATCTGTACTGCATGGAAGTTTGGTTCATCAGTCTTTGAAGAGAGAGACAGAAAAGACTGAAAAATGTATGTTGTCTTCAGTACAATTCAGGTTACTACACAGAACCTCCTGCTCACCACACTTCAATGAGTCATACGTGTTAAGCATAATAATTCCTCTTTTTTTAATGTGTTCTGATGATAATTTTTTCATTTACAGCTATAAATGTTACATTCATTTTAAAAAGTTGACAAAAATCAGATTGTCAAAAATATAAAATAATTTAACTGAATAATTTTAACTCATTCTAAAATCCATTTTTTTTATTAATGCACATTATAGCTATTTTGCATTAACTTTGTGCAATATGTGCCCTGATAAAATATTTGGAAAGATCTTATTAACCATATTTGTCAAAGCTTTTTCTGTGTGATTAGGGTTTATTTCACTAAATTTGAATAAAACATTGATCATTGAACTGTCAAATTACAATACAATTTCTAGTAAGATGTTGGCTGGAAAGGACTCCACTTACACCGTATTATTTTGACAGATTTGGAGTTATATAATGGATTTTTTCTGAGGAAGATGAGATTACGAGTCCACTTGAGTCCAAACAGAGATTTCCATGTTAAAATGAAGCCATAGAGCTATATAACATATCCCACCTTCAATAATTTGCAGTGATGCACAAAGGCTCTGTTCTATAGGTCAAAAACCTCAAATCCTACCAACCAGAAGGAGATATTAGGTGATTTGTATGATCTGGATAAATGTCACCTCACAAAATAAGCTAAGGGATTGAGAAAGGCATGACATGCAAGCAGAAGGCAAAGTATTTTCTCAGTCTTACTTGAAGTAGCATAGAATCCTATGTCTGGGTAAACAGAAGTTTTGGCCTGTCATGTCTGATTGGTCTTCCAAAACACTACAGAAGTTGGATTCAAAATATAACAATAGTATCATAACAGAATGCAATAGCTTTGCAACCTTGGAGATATTACATTCTTTCACAGTTCAAGTTCTTTTTCAAAGAGCCCTTGGGTCTGGCTATCACATGCAGTGAAATTGTGTTCAAAGGTACTCAGGCTTCCTGTAACAAAACAGCGGCGATGAAGCCTGACAAGAGTTTTTCTGTACCCATATTATGAAGCCTCACAGGGAAACAGCCACCCTGAGATGTATAAAATTATACTGCAAGTGAAGTTTAGTTACAGACTTGGCTAAAATCAGTAAGAAGTTTATTTACATGGCCTTTTTTTTTTTGGAGAAGACCTGAACTTGCTTTGCCTAAGCCCTAAGTCAGGATACAAAGAAGTTCTAGTCCGAAGGGTCTGTACTCAATCTTCTGTGATAAGCTCTGTTGGGTGCATGGTGCTATTCGGCTTCAAGTTTATATACCTCCTGTCACAATGAAATGCAAGCAGAGCAAACAAAGGTCTAGACAACAGACTGAGGATTTACAGTTCATTATGTAAGGCTAAGGCTCGAATACACTGTAGTCCCTTGACCTGGAGGTAAGGGTCTTGGAGATAAAGGGTTTTCCTTATTCACACAAATATGGGAGACAAGCTAAATAAGAAAAGCAAAATACTGTGATACTGCTTAAGGAGCACTCTGTCATAAACTCTTTTTTTTTTTTTCCTGGGGAAATTTATGCTCAGGAAAGACTCTCTGGATGAGCCTACGTAACTCATAAATCAAATGCCATGTATTCTGGTGCCGTTTCTGACAGTCTGTATGTTAATAACATCTAATGTGTACTACTGCTTGTGTTCCCTTGTTCTATTTCTGGTCAGCAAATTATTTGTACAGGGGTACTTAGATTTCTCTTCAACAAAGACGGTGTCAATAACAGTGACGATCCATTTGTGAAATAAAGCTAACACTTGGACACTCTCACCACCTTTGCTACCTGAAAATTGTTTCTTTTACTCTCAGCAAGTTGTAGTATTGTCCACTGTGCTCAGCAGAAAATCAGTTTTAGAAGTCACAATTCAAAAAGGATGAGTAGACCCATGGAAGTTTCTGTACCTTTCTGTTGTTTGGAGAGGTAATTTAACAACTACCTTAGATTAGAAGCTGAAGGCAGGCTTCAGCTGGCTAAACATATGTATTTAGTGTAATTATTTGCCTTGAGTATTACAGATGTGTGCAATGCTGGTGAATACACCTGGTGCCCTGAAGAGAATCCAGGCACTTCTGCAGTAGGAGCTAGAGCACAGCTAGAAATTGCTTGGGCACCTTAAACAGCATTAAACATCCAAGCTGAGACAGACTGTTACTACATTTACATATGTACAGGAAGATGACTGCTTGTGAGCCAGATGTTTAAGTTTCTACTGCAATCAATGAGGGTGTAATTCAGTCACCTAACATATATGTTATCTCATATGTCCCAGGGTACCCAGCATGGACTCCGACTGCTGTGACAAGAGAGTGTGGGTCTTGTATAGGCTCCATTCTACAGAGCCTTCAGCTGACATATTGGATATCTGGGGAATCTCAGATGGCACTAAGCACCAAAGGTTATGGAACAGAATTGAATGTCACATCTAGCCAATATAGCTAGCAGAAGTGAGAAAGCTATTCAGCTCTGTCAAAAATAGTCACCCACTTCTGACCATCTCAGTAGCTGTCTGTACTGCAGTGACTAAATTGACCAGATTAGCAAAGAGAATAACTTAGTCATCTTAGACACTGAACTTACACCTGCTTACATGTCTGGGTCTGGAGCTGAAGTCTACCCCAAGCAGGCAGAGGCCTAAAGTTAGGTAAGATGTATCCCATTCCCAGCATTCAGTACAAGAATACATGAGAGGTGATTCTTCCATCCTCACATTAGCACTGTCATGCTCAGTTTGAAGACACTTTCCAGGCTGTTAACAAGAAGCTGTTTATTTAAAATGTCAGTTATGTAACACGATTATTTAAATGTTTTCTTCTTTATATTACAGTAAATTAACACAGTTTAAAAATTCCTCTCACTTCCCACTTTATTCACTCTGAAGCTACCAGAGTTCTGATTTTCAGCAGGACATCAGTGAGTATAATAGATTAAGCAGTCTGAAATTTCTTCAGCCACCTATCCTCCATGTGCAGCTCTCTGGTTGCTTTGTATGACAAATACAATATTTGACAAAAGCAGATTACTTGAAATAATGCTATTAGCTATGCAGTTTTGGTCTGGTTGTTTTGTTTGTTGCTTTTTTTTTGCAAGGCTCTCTCTGTAAAAGGGCCTGGGCATCACTGAAGTACATAATTTCTTAGATTACAACCCAGTGGACTAGATGACACCACCTTCCCAACCCCCCAAAACTTGTCAGGTGTTGAACTTTTCATTGGATCACTTCCAAGGAGGAAAATCTTGTCAAGTGTAGCTCTAGCACAAATCAATGGTGTGTTCATGTAAACACTAGTTAGTTCATGTAACCACACTCAGAAAACATAATTTTCATTACAGTTGCTGGTATGATTGTCATCCCTATTAGCCTAGATGTAAATTCAATGATTTACTTCAGAACTTCATAGCCATCAGTGGAGAGGATGTATGCTCTTGCAACATGGGAATTTTGGTTATAGAGATGGTAGACTAAAAGGTGGAGTAGTGAAACAATCAAGCAAATCAATTTGATTTAAGACTAAAACTACCTATCGTTAGTTATGTTGACATTCTTCCTCAGAAGTATATATTTGAAAGCCGCTTCTAATTTAATCAGGCTGTTGAAGTTTGACATACATGAATGCACACACACACAGAGTGAAGGTAAAAACTACGGAATAGATTTAGCTACACAGGGATACAGAAGGAAGCAAGAACCTGACCTTTTAAATTTATATGTCTACTTAAATGAGTTAGATCTTGCCTTCCAGAAGCATGCATTTGCCTGCTCCGAAGAAATGAAGTGTAAAATGCAAGCAGCTTTCTCGGTTCCTTGCTCTACAGAACTGAGGTAGGATTTATGTGTATGATTGGCAGCACCAAATGAGTCCCAAAAGCAAAGAGGAAGTGGATTAAATTGTGGCTTCTTAATTTCTTTCCTAAGGCACTGATGGACAAGTGCAGCCATATCAAACTTCTCATTGTACTGCACTGACTCGAACTAGTTCCTCAAACATAACATATTTATTTTTACAAAGAGAATTTCACCCGTATTTTGCCCTTTCTTAAGCATATAAAACAGTAAGTTTGTCCAGGATTTTGGTAGAATCAGCTGTAGTGTGTGCAACAGTATTTGGTAAAGAGGTGTTTTTGGGATAGCGTACACAAAGGCATTTCATATACATATGATAGACAGCTATAGGAATATGTTTTTTGATAATGTTAAACCCCTTAGAAGGCTTGAATGAAACCAGAACATAAAAGAGAGCAGAAAACCTGGTTGTTTAGGGATGTAAACTGTGCTAAAATTATCTCTGGATACAAACATCTTTCAAAAACTTTCCTATCATTCATACACACAGACACAAATTAGATTCTCCCATTATAACAGCTGTGAAGAAGTTCTTTTATGCTTC